CAAAACCCTCTTATTCTCAGATCATGTACCATTCTCCTTCCAATCTTCATGCACTTCTCGAAACCATCGGCAAAAACGTAATCGCCAAGTAGGAAACAAATTCCAGGAAGACGAACGTGAGTGATGGCACACTCATTATTCGTGGTGAAAAGGTTCTATCACGGAATGTTGGAGGCGTTAGATTTGTCGCACACTCATCTGTCGTCCATCTTGTCGATTCGCATGAGATCCATCACCTCGCTTAGCTATCCTTCAACTCCGTCCTCTGCATCAGAAAACCACCACTATCATCAACTGCTATTCTCCAACATTGACAGCTGATTACTCGGAGTTAGATGCTTTTTTATACGGATTTGGAGAAAGTAATTCGCAGAGGAAAACCCTTCTGTAAATTCGTCGTGGGTGACTTCAATGGGAAAATGGAATGCAAGAAGAAAGGGAGCAAAGGATCGAGATACTTGGTTTAGGACCGAAGTGAGAACAGCAACCGTCTTGTTGGGCTCTTATCCACTGCACGACTCCAATGGTAATTCCATCTTCATAAAGAAAAAATACCAACGGAGGACACGGGTATCGCCCAACGGTACGACCCATGCGAAGGTCAAGCATATTTTTATTAACCGAAGGTGGTGCTTTCAGGTCATCGTTCGAGCAAAAGAGCGATTCGGCTAACTGGAAAAGAAGATCTGTCAGCGTGTTGGCGGAAAGAAAGAAGTCGTATACGACGGCGTCAGATTTGAGGAGCACCTAACCACTTGTGACTGGCCCTTCAAGGAAAACCCAAGGAACGTCCACGACTTGCTTCTCAGAGAAGTTAGAGTTTGCGGTGAAAGTGCCTCAATGCTTCGAACGAACGAATGAATTTGGAAAGCCATCAAGGATTTGCTTTAGAAGAGGAGAGCATCGAGACTGGATCTAACTACATCACATTTCAATATTGGCCAATACCAATTGCAAAACAGCTTTGTTAGAATACCTTCAAAAGGCAGTTTCCTCTGGAAGCAGCACAAGGAAGGAGAAATCTAAAGAAGCGCCGCCGGAACTTACTCGACTACCTTCAGCTGAAAACATTAATGAACAGAGACGGAATTTTCATCTTCCCGGCAATGAAATCCACAAAAAAATTCTGCACCAATCTTTTCCCCTCATCCACTCGTGTCAAGCCCTGTTATCCCCACTGGAAAAATACCACCAGGAACTCTACGTGCCTAATTACGCGCCAATCCAGACCATGAAA